AATCAGTCAGTCATAGCCAACTCGAAGTTGCAGAACCATTTCCAACGTCGGAGGTGCCCATTTTAGCCGCGAAAAGATTGAATTTTTTGTAACATTTGACAGAAGCAGCAAAACCCGCGTTTTCTCCGTATATAATAATTGCGAGGAGGAGAAGCTGCGTAAAAAGAACTAAGATTGATAAATATATGCACAAGTTCGCGCCTTTTCAATTTTCCCACCTTACCTTGCTTATAAACCTTTGCTATTTTTTCACGAGGATAGGAGTCTGTATCTTGACCGACGTATTCGGAAAAATGTCGGCTTTTAGTGCTCATTAACGTAGGTGAAAAAGAATATTAATTCAAAGCACAGCCGGGTCGAGTAACATGATAAGCTACACATCCTATCTGATAAGATAGGAAAGCATGTTGCAAGAGTTTTTTTCTTGACAATCTTATGTACTATCAGCACGAAGCTTCATCTTGAGTACTGAAGAATTCTACAGACGGAAAGGCCAGCAATCATAAATGCATTAATGCAGTGGAACGCAACACGTCTACTAAGCTTAACACTGTAGCAGATGCTTTCGCCTCTTCTCTAAATTCATGACTCATGAAAAGGAAGCTGCAGTAATCAATGCCATCTCATTTGTAAAACATAGAGGAAGGAAAGAGGAATTTGTTTACTGCTCTTTTACAGAAATAAAATCGTTCCACCACTTGCGGTTAATTTTTGTTTCCGATGAAGCAGCCTTTGGACAGTGAGCTCTAGCTAAACGAGGATCTTCCGTAAGACTGGAAGTTGCCCTACCAAGATGGAACATATTTGCTAAAGAGACGCTGACATTCTGGCTTGCTCAAATATGACTATGTGATGAGCTGCGGTCGCATTTTGGAAAATTTTTGCACAGCTATTAAAAGCAGGTCTCGTGATTTGGGCGAGAAGCGATTTACCGGAATTTTTCGAACTATCTATTGTAAAATTATATTCTACTTACTTCAGGGTGTGGTTTGGTATTCCTTTTCTGGCGGGAAGCCAAAGAAATATTGTCGCTGTCTCATGGTGAGCTTTCTGCACACAAAGGCCAGTGTAGCAAAGAGATTCATTTTTGGCATACCCAGAAGAAGAATGAGCCAAACGAGTATAGTACGCCTTTTTTAATGCATCGGGGGACATTTAATAAAAAACTCTTCTGTTGAGCGTAGAATAGGGTACAATCATGCGCTGCCTGTGACAAATCTTACGTACAGCGTAGGTAGAAGCAGAGTCAAGCATCAATTCGATTGCGCAGAGCCATTAATCTGTCGGAAATGTAGATCTGTAGGAGTCTAAGCCGTGAGTGTGCTCAGAACATTGCAATTATCGTGCCTAGTTCCGTACAGGAAGAGAAGGGATAAGACCAGTAGGTGTTGTTTATTATGCACAGGAACTCAGTGGTGGTCTGAAGTCCCAACACGCGGCAGGCTCAGGACCATGCGCACGCTTGTGTTTGGTAGCGTGCTATAGACGTGAATGCATAAAGGTTATGCGAGAGTGAGTCACTGGCCGCTCGATCAACTGTATCGGATCACATGGCAGCAAGTTTCCCCTGACATCCTTATCAAGTGAGCCTCAAGAGCCAAACATGAGTCAGCGAGGATTGACAACTGATGCAGCTTTTGGATGGACAGTATTGCTGACAATCCTCTCCGAGTCAAGTGGCTTACACTGGTATGTACCGACGCCTAATACTTATACCCTGGTTTTTATAGTAGTGAGTTAGGAAACTTTGTTTGACTTTGGTCAATCTGACAACGGAGATTAACTAGCTAATGTGTCGAGCACAAAAATCTAAAGTGCTTGATGGCATGCATGTTATACCATCGTCTGCTGACCCATGAAGATATTCGCAGATTTTGTTAGCAAGGGTACGTAAAGTGCACAAAGACATTTCGTGCATTTTTAAGTTCCCGGTTTTTCTCTTCTTGCCATTAATATGATGGTATTATTATTTATGCACGTCGAGCTCATTAGTAACCAATGTGCACCTCCCAAATTCTGATTGAATATGCATACTCTGAAGTAGTATCGCAAAGATTTAAGTTAATAAGGTGAAACCATAGCAGCTGCGATCTTCAGACCCGATTCCTCAGGATGAGAGAAGGTGTGAGATGCCAGACTGGTAGGAACAGTTTATTCTGTACAGAAAGAGTGGAGAATAGGTAGGAGGAAGTGAACTATCGGATGAGCATACGTCTGCACCGGAGTCGGGCCGTGTCCGAAGTGCGAGTCTGTCGGCAGTGATTCCAGCGGCCACAGAGGGCAGTCTTTGTCTGAGTTAGCTTTGAGGGTGATTGACCAGGCCGGAGAGTCAAAGTGCGCACTCTAGCCCCCATGAGGGATAGAGAGTTGACACAGTTTGCAGCACCTGTGATTGGCTGTC